CAACCACCAAATTGCCCAGCGTATCCTGCAGGGGTCCCACATTACCCGGCACCTTCTTCATCCTCCCAATATATTTGAAAAAGGACTTTTTGTTATCCTTAATCTTGGACGCTAGTCCGAGCTCCATGTCCGCCTTGGCCTTCCTAACAGCTCGCCTACAGGCCCGAGCTGAGTAGGTATACTCCTCTTTGGAGATTTCACCCCCCTTCCACCGGGCGTAGTAAGATAGAAGTCATCTTTTTTCAGCTGTTGTTGATAGCCATCAAGATTAATGCTAATACCAAACCTTATCTTCCAATACATACATTTTTAGTGCTTCCTCCCCACCCCCCCAGGATCTCCAAATCCTTTGTTAAGTGTGTATCCAAATTTCATTCTGCCATCACCAAGATGCAGCTACAGCTGAGTTTAAACACAACAGCTGGTGTACCCAATGAAATTGCTTAGTGTTGCTGATAAAGTGGAGTCTATTTCTACTAAAGGAACTTCAGAGTGAATTCAAGAAGCAGAATCTTATCCTAATTTTGAATTTGGCTACAACCTGTGGATTAGAAGTGGAAAAGTGTCATGTAAAGCACCTGACCATGAGAAGCCAAGGGTTTTCATTCATATCTCTTCCAAAAGATGTTGGCCTTACTACCTCATGTTGGGTGGCGCTGAGGAACGCCACCATGAAAACATGCCCCACCCACTCACTGCCATACCACATGTATGTCCCAAAGACCAAAAAATTCTGTAGCCACTTTCTGATGCACATCTAGGTGTGCCCACCACCACTTCCAAGCTAAGTCTTGGGCATGCCCATAAGAGCAATGCTGGGTATGCCAAATACCGCTCTAACTGCAGCCATGACATTTTTCCACCATGCAGCACAGGCCTGGCAGAAGCAAGTGAGTGGGGTATGTTTTCATAGCAACGCTTATTAGCTTTCCCCAAAAGTGCCACATTAACGCCAGCAGCAGCTGTACTGTTCCGTAACGTGTGCTGGCATCAGTCTAACAATGAATCAACAATAGCCTTTCCTGAAGCAGCCAAGATTTTCTTTGGAAGCTTCTCATTTTTCACACACTGACAAAGTTCACATCTGCTTATGAAATACAATGAAATTATAGCCACACTCCATTGCTGCAGGATTTAAGTCATAACTAAGCCCCTTTGTTCCTATGCCAAATGATATTGGGACCCCTCTTGGTACTAATGAAGGCAGCAATGGAGTTGCAATAGCAAATCCTACTTCATTGTTTAAAAACATTAATTAAATTAGCCAAGCCAATTATCCTGTCTGAAGAGGACACTAAAGTCTTTAACACAAAAAAGGTTCCAGGCAATAATTAAAGTACCCAGAAGAAGTATGTTTTGGTGTAGTAAGAGAGAAGACCTGCTTCAGAGGGTAAGACATTAAATTTTAACTTATAAGGTTTAAACTGTTCCACAGGGAAGAATTTGTACCTTCTTCTGACCCCTGTGGGAGAATGTATCCTGTCCAACATCCTTCAACTAGTCTGGCCATGCTTATGCTCATCTGACTAAACGAACAAAAGCGGCAGCTTTTTTGAAGTATTGGGTTCAGTGCCTCCCCCAAGCCAGAGTCCTATTAAATGTGTTCTCTCCCAGCTCTGCGACCCTAGGAGGCATCCTGCAAGGCATGATAAAGTATAGAAAAAAAAAGTTGACTTTCAAAGTGTTGAAAGATAAAAGAATTGTGGGTAATCAGCTAACAAGAAAAACGTGCAGGAAGCACTCATCAAGTAAGTATTTGCAAATAAGTTTATCCTGGGTAAATATATGCATTTCCAAGGTTACTGTATCCATCTACAGCTTATTCCTAGAATACTTGTAACTGAAAATAGATACATTTTTCTTACTTTATTTGATGAACTCAAGATCCATATTAAAACAATGAAAGACAGAGCTATGTGGTGGAACAGGGCATCAGAATGCTCTCGTAGAACAGCAAGTTTTGGTTCACTAGAGTTAAATTATTAATAAGAGAATAGCAAAAAAGTGTAGATACTGAAAGAAACTTTGTAGAAGGTTACGATACCTATATACAGAATGAACCACTTGGATTTGGTTTTTGAAAAAGAAGCAGGTACAAGGTTTGGAACGTTAGTGGTTTAGGATTTGCTCAAATATGAAACTAGATCTGATCTTGCTTCCACTAATCCTTCAAATAATCTAACACTTACATGCAAACTTCTTCAATAATTTAAAATGCAACTGTAATTGCATTGTCTTGTTACAAGAAATCAGAAAGGTCTCACATATGTTGGAAAATCAATGATGTCTATTGCTGATGACAGTTAAACTGGATGTAATGAAATAATTCAGTTTCGCTTTTCATTTCTTAAAAAACTATTATATCACAAGGATCTTAATTGTTTGCGTTAGCTGTCAACTCAGGGCTGAGGGCAAACCATACCTCACAAGGTGATCTGCAACTCTGGGGCTGAATCAGTGGGGCTTTATTTAAATTTTCCTGTGGGCCAAAGCCTTCTTTTTGAATAAGACATGATGTTTCATTTTTTCCATATACTAAAAATACAATCTGTGTGATTTAGGGCCTGAGATTTACTACATTTGCTCAGTAGGCTCCACTTCTGGATTAAGGCCTCAGCACATTACTACAAGACACATAGCTTTAAAAAAAAAAGTAAGATGTCAGTCCAACAGCTGAGGTTCTTTACTAGTCATCCCTTCCAAAACAAGAGACCCAGGAAGGGTTTTCTCTTAGAACTCAGCTTATGCTTAAAACAGGATTGATCCAAGCATTAGTTACTGATGAAGACATCTTTGAGGAGCTCAAGTCTCTAACTTCCTGTGCCCCAAATTTAAAGGAAGACATGTCATTGTCTCTCACATCTCAATAGAAGTGTTAGGTGGCATCATGAGGGAGTGGCTTTAACCTGTCCGCTCAGGTA